CGGTGCTAGGGGCCGGGCCCGGTCCTGGCTCGGGAAGCGGAGCGCGGGGCCTTGGGGCGGAGCAGAGACTCTGCCCTAAAGTTCAGGCTGTGCCCCAGCCTCTTTGTTGATGGAACGCGCTCTGCTGCCCCCTCGGCAGTCCCGCACTGCCCGGCCCAAATACAGAATCATAGAATCAGCCAGGTCGGAAGAGACCTCAAAGGTCATCGAGTCCAACCCTACCGTGGTTACTAGACCGTGGCACTAAGTGCCACATCCAGTCTCGTCTTAAAAACCTCCAGGGATGGTGAATCCACCACCTCCCCGGGCAGCCCATTCCAGTGCCTGACTACTCTCCTGTTTCGGTAAAGCAGTGCTTCGCTTCTCAGGAGTTCTGTCAAGAGCTGGCAGGGCCCAGGCTAGTGCAGGAGCACTGAGTTTGTGCTAGAGTTTCTCTTTCTTGGTGTCACTGATGATGATGATGATGAACTGAATGACTGGGATAAACAAATCCTCCACCTGGTTGGTCTGGTGCTGTGCTATTTGCAATAAAAATAGCGAAATGTTTTGAAAAATTGCAGGAATGATATTTGGTAGAGTTTTACAGCAAATCTGTGCATTTCATGACTTTGGACATACCTTAATAAATTATGATGATGATGGTTGATGATTAACCTCATCCGTCTGATGGTTTTATTGCAAATTAGTGCAGGGATAGCAGTAGCAGTTACTATAAATACTGTTGTACATCTGCCACTCACAGATGGTAAAATGAGTAAACAAGTGGATGAAGATGATGATGACAGTGACCCGTTCGAAGACTTCACGGAGAACTTTAACCAACTTGAACTGCTGGAGACACACAGGCATTTGATTCCTGTAGGAACTCAGAGCTGCTGGTCAGGACAGTCTGATGATGATGATGATGAACAAGAAAGAAGTGAGGAATGGTACGAAATGCAAGAGAAGAAAATGGAAAAACATCCTGAGAAGTTGCTGCTCTGGGCAGCTGAAAACAATCGGGTAAGGTATTTGTTCTGTTCAAATGCATCACTGACAAGAATGTTGTTTTGAGCTACATATCTGTAGTCTCATCCACAAATGAAAATTTACCTACACTTTCTTTTATCTCTCTGAGCCATTTTAATCTGGTTTTACAAGCCACTGTATGTAAAACATCTCCCTTTGTAGCCTACACACACTGAAATACCTCTGGGTACATCAGCTTTTAGAACAAAACCTTTGATTTCAGTTCAAAGTTCACGCAACAGCACTTCTCTTAAACTTCTAGGAACTGAAAACTTGCCAGGCTCTTTCTTTGTGGCAAGGAAGGCTTTTAGCTGGAGCGGGGAGGGTGTATCTGAAGCTTTATTGTCTCAGAAGCTCCATGTGCAGATAACGTGTGACTGGGTTTGTATATTTTTATGGCAAAATTCCCCAGCTTTATTCTTGGAAGTGAGGGAGAGACAACCAAGATACGTGTTATGTAGCTTATTACAACTTTGTGTACATTTATTTTCAGTAGTTGCCTTTCTTAGACATAGAAGCTCCATCTGCAGTTCTGTGGAGGTACTTAAGTCTTCATAGTGAGTGGGGACAAGGTGTAAGGTAAAGGCACTCCTAAGGCATTGCAACTAATTTTCATGTCATAGCTCTTTGATATCAAAACAAACAAAACCCCCCACAAACCTAGTGACTCTGTTTTCATTTCAAAATATCTTGTTGCACTTTTTTTGACACTGACGGAAATGGCTTTTCCATAAAACTTGAGGACGGTAAAAGCCATACACCTTGTTTCATGGCATCATACTAACTCACCTGCTTTCTTTAAGCAGCTGAGTACAGTAAGGAGGCTCCTGACAGAAAAGCTGGCTCCTGTTAATGCCCGTGACGAAGATCAGTACACCCCTCTCCATCGAGCTGCCTACAGTGGGCACTTGGACATTGCATACGAACTGGTGGCCCAGGGGGCCGACGTGCACGCACAGACGGTGGATGGCTGGACACCCTTGCACAGTGCCTGCAAGTGGAACAACACCCAGGTGGCTGCCTTCCTGCTGCAGCAGGGCGCGGACATCAACGCGCAGACCAACGGTCTGCTGACCCCTCTGCACATTGCTGCAGGAAACAAAAACAGCAGGGAAACCCTTGAGCTCTTGCTGATGAATCGCTACGTGAAACCAGACCTGAAGAACAACCTGGATGAGACTGCCCTTGACATTGCTAGGAGGACTGATGTGTATCACTACCTTTTTGAAATAGCGGAAGACTGCATAAACGCTGTGTCCCCTTAAAAGCTGTGGTTAAGCTTGTGAGCCTGAGGTTTGTTGCCTCTTGTTTGTGTTCTGCATGCTTGTCAGTGGTGGTCTGTCCCTTTGCAGCGAGGTTCACTGTTCTCACTTCAGTGTTCTCAGGCAGAATGTCACTTCCTGCAGCTCAGCCCAGTGGTCTGACGCGTACTTTTGAGGCGTTACTGCTGTTACTCAAGATGTTCAGAAAGTCTCAGTAATTCCTGTGAGTTTCCATTTAATTAGTGCAGATTTGGAGGGGCCTTTGTAATTGGGCTGCACTGTCAAAGCTGGAGGGAAAACTGGAATGTTTACTTGATGTGAAAGAATTCTGGCTTGGTTATGCAGAGTTTACTACAGCTCACTTGAAAATTATTTTTTGAGAAATTTTAACTTTTTTAAAACTGCATGAGAGCTCAGAATGAATGTAACTTATTTGGGTGATACACAAAATGTTTAATGATTCTGGTGTAAGGCTTACTGTAAAATAAAATCCTTAACCCAAAGTATTTTGTCATATTTTTATTTTAAAGCTCAACTATCAATGCAGTCACCTGCTCATAAATCAAAAGTGTTATTCACAGGGTGAGGAAGTAGTTTTGATTTCTATTTTCCCAGTGCTTTTCAAGGAAATGACTTTCTGTGAAGATCCTGTTTACTTTCCCCTTGCAAACTGAATTGTGTAAAGATTTAATGCCATGGATGTGGCATTAGCTGGAACAAATGAGCCTGGACTGCATGATGTTAAACAGCATATTGTCGTGTCTGGTTTAGTGTTTCTCTTCCCATTTTGAGTGAGTACTCTAAAGATTTTCCCATGGTGATGGCATGCTGCATGATTTTCAGCATTCAACTCTGCTATGTGTATAACTCGGAAATGGAGAAACTTGTTTCTCTCTGTTAAACAAACTGAACTGACATGAAGTAGTCACCTGCTATGAGAGCTGTAAAAAACACTGCTGTCTCATGCAGATGCCTTACTGAGTGATCCCGAGCTCATTCCAGACACCACTGTTACAGGTGAAGCACAACTGTAACAGTAACAGCAGCAGGGTTGGGGTGTGTTGGCCCATATTTGGTGCTCTGATCAAGCAACTGTGGAGGCCATGTCCATCACCCACCATCTAGAAGCAGTGTCTGATGTTCAGCACTCCTGTTAGAAGATGAATAATAGCCTCTGAACTATGGTATAAGATTTGAGTAGTAGATTTAAGTAATATTTTTAAGTATAAGATTTGAATTATTATTATTTTGAAAGTTTGGTTTCAGGACATCTGTGAAAGATGAGTATACCATGAAATGCATCAAGCTACAATACAGACATGGGCTACTACATGCATTTGTGTAACCAGACTTGGTTTGTACTTTATAGATTCTCACTACTGTATGCAAAGTCTTGGTTTCAAGGAAGGTGCTGCAGAGCAAAGTTTTCAGCCAAGGGAGCAGGACAGCTTCCCTGTGTGCCTGCTGGCATTATTATCCATCGACTACTGTAATTGGCAGCTGCTCTTCTTACTCAAATCTTTAACTGTGGCAAAACAAGGAAAGTCAAGTCCACTTCAGTCCTATAAACAGTGTCTCAATATGCCTCATTTTATCATTGAATCAGAATTTTAGGGGTTGGAATGGAGCTTACAGATCATCTAGTCCCACCACGCCCTGCCATGGGCAGGGACACCTCCCCACTAGACCAGGTTGCTCAAGGCCTCATCCAACTTGGCTTTGTACATTGCCAGGGTTGAGGCATCCACTCCCTCCCCTGGCAACCTGTCCCAGTGTCTCATATGCCTCATTTTATCATTGAATCAGAATTTTAGGGGTTGGAATGGAGCTTACAGATCATCTAGTCCCACCACGCCCTGCCATGGGCAGGGACACCTCCCCACTAGACCAGGTTGCTCAAGGCCTCATCCAACTTGGCTTTGTACATTGCCAGGGTTGAGGCATCCACTCCCTCCCCTGGCAACCTGTCCCAGTGTCTCACCATTTTCCTAATATCTAACCTAAATTTCCCCTCCTTTGAATCTGTTCTGTTACCCCTTGTCCTATCACTGCTGTTCCTAACAAGGAGTCCCTCTCTGGCTCACCTGTAGCCCCTTCAGATACTGAAAGGCGGCTATGAGGTCTCCATGCAACCTTCTCTTTTCCAGGCTGAACAGCCCCAACTCCCTCAGACTATCTTCATAGGGGAGATGCTCCAGTCCTCTTACCAACTTCATGGCCTCCTCCTGGACCTGCTCCAAGAGTTGCATGTCCTTCTTACATTGAGGGCACCAGGACTGCATGCAGTATTCCAGGTGGGATCTCACAAGAGCAGAGTAGAGGGAGAAAATCGCCTCCTTTGACCTGCTAGCTACGCTCTTTTTGATGCAGCCCAGGATTCAATTGGTTTTCTGGGCTGCGAGCGCACACTGCTGGCTCATGGTGAGTTTCTCATCCACCATCATCCCTAAATCTTTCTCCTCATTTACTCATTTACTCTCAATTCCCCACCCAACCTGTAGGTGTGCCTGGGGCTGCTAGGACCCAGATGTACGACCTCAAACTTCAATGACCAAGCTAGCACTTTTGAGTATCAGTGGATCTACATCACCCCTCCAATTAAACTAGACTCTTCAGTCGTTACTCCCAGCTGCCCCAGGTGTGGATGCCGAGGTGTTCCTTGGATATACCTGCAGCTGCCTTTGCTCGCCCGGCCCCGAGCAGCCCCGTGAGCACAGCAGTCCTCCATCCCCAGCCACCCCCTAACAGGGAAGAGCTGTGTCTATGTTGAGCCAGCTAGGGGAGTTCAAGAATTGCTTCAGGAGCACCTTCGTTTTCAGAAAGATGAATCCTATGTTAAACATCCAGCTGCAGTTAATCCTCTTTATTAGCACATGGCAAGTGTGTATCAGGACAAATGGTTGGTTTGAGAAACTGTCATAAAATTATTAAAACAAAACACCCTAGAACATCTATGTAATAACTGGGGGAACATTTAGAAACAGAAGAATTTCATATAGTCTTTGATTTTGTCTTTTGTTTTGGTCAGAAGTTATGGGACCATACGGATACTTCCATGCGATCTATCGGTTTAATAAAACAGAAACAAATGACAAGCAGTAGGGAGCTTTTGTTACCTTTCTCTTTGAAAGAAGTGCTGTAGTTATTAGAATACTGTTTCTCTTGTGTAGGATTGAGATGCAATTCTAAACTCATTCAAAGTGAATTTAAAACAGCTGGATTCATAGACAAACATGTACAAAAATTAGGTGATGTAATCAGTACCCTGACAGATGCAAAGACCATTTAAACCTGCAACTCTGTTCCTGTGATTAGGCTCCTTAGGCAATTATAGCACAACCCTAAGGAAACAGTTTGTTAGCATTGTAAGAGGAATATTTTTAGTGTGATTTTTAGACCTTGCAGAATATATGAGCACAGCATATTTTGCCATTAAATAAGGCTCCTTCCTATGTTTTCAGGGGCTAGTCGTTTAAAAATACAGGCAGCTGCATGACTAGCACCTCTTTCTTCCTATCTTGTTCTTGAGAGATCTGGGGATAGTGGCATCTTAGTTACAACAGCAACATGAATTAAGTTATTACGGATATAGGAAATGTTTAACCAGTACAGCCTTCTGTCACGCTACCTTTGCTTTAGAGTTAATACTTGTAGGTACATTTTGGTAATAGAGAGCAGGCCTAAAATACAACTAAAGAATGACTTAGAGTTTTGAGATGTTGGCATGGTTTTAGAACTCATGTACTTCAGGCTTCTAGTGAAAGCAAGCAGAATTTTCAAAGATCGTGATGTCCTCCATTTCCTGTTAAGATCCATGAAGAAAGAACAGCTTTCAAAAAAAGCAGTTCAATCAAATTGATGTAGGTGCTGAAATTTATGGGATCTGTTGGTTTTCCTTTGGGAATTCAGATATACCTTCATTCCTAGGGACTGCTGCTAGAAACAAGTGGTGCTCACCTCACTAGCTGTACTGCCTTTTTTGCAGTGGAACAGGCAGGTATCATGAGAGAAGAGGTAGCAGAAAAAATATGACAGGAGAGAAACTGAGAGCAATCCGGCTTCAGCTTCTATACTCACCAAACCATCTCCATTCACACACCCTCTTCTATGTAAGGATCTGGGAAAGAAATTCGGTGGAAATATACTAGTTTGGAGATGGAGTAGGTACAGGCTGTGAGCACAGACAAAAAGGAAGAGGCATTTCCAGATAGAAAATGAGCCCACTGTGTTTAGTGCCAAAGGAAAGGAACCAGCAAAAGGAGAAGGAAAAAGCACTGACAAGGGGGATAAAAGAGGAGATTGAGAACAGGTTAGGAATTCTGAAGGGAACTGAAGAGAGAGCACCATTCAGCTCCGCAGAGAGAGAAACTGTGAGAAATGAAGGGAAAATATGTAGGAGATATAAATAGAAGAGAGAAAAAGTAAAAAATACATATCCATTTTACTGAATTCACTGTAGTTAATACATTTTTGTTTCTTCCTTTTACTGCCTTTCCCTAAAAGTGACCAGTGGTTTGGGGGGCTCACTACATGGTGTCTCATCCTTAGAGAAGATCTTGTCTTTTTTTACAGATTGCTGAACTTTAGTGCTGTGAAGACCTGAGCCTGCTTTGAAGTGTCAAATCAAATATCAGAATGACTAGCTACCTTTGGAAATGTAGATCTGTATTTCCAGGATTTTGAATAAAGTTCTGCTTGAATATGGAGCCATTTCTTCTTTGTTGTTTTATTCATATCCTCATGCTGCTTTTTAATCTGATGTTGTAAGTAGCCAAATCTGATCCATACTTCAGCCAGTGATGAAGATATCACAATCCAAAGATGACAAAATGTTCTTGCTGGCAAGTGTGCAATTATGAAACTCGACATTTTAATAGTCTTGTCGGTTGCAAAAGTGATTCTGTGTTCCAGCAGATGATTGCAATGTAATTGAAGAGATGCCTTATAGTGCTTTAGGCTGAGTTCATCCATTAAAATGAGCATTTCAGAAGGCAAGAGTTTGTAATTTGATATCTAGCCTGATTTAATGAAAGTTTAGCATAAATAAGCCTCTCTCTATATGTCTCTCTATAGAAGACATCTACCAAAGAATCACAGAGGCAGCATGGAACCTGAAATAACTTGCCACTTAACTCACACTCTTAAACCATTATTACAGTGAGGTGACACCACATGATCATACTCTGTTTTGTATTATCATGCCACTTATGAAACAAATGAGGATCCTTCTAGATACCATATAAAACCAGAACAAAAGATAGTTTTGAAAGATCACGGATGATTGGAGGATATATCAGAGACAAGAGTGACCTTTCCAGTTCCATAATGTCTTCAGTGTTTTGGTAGCAGGTGAGAGGCAGAAAGCTCTCTCCAGCAAAGCATCTGAGGTGGCTGAGCCTGAGCCACTTCAGGAGGAAGTGAAGAGTGAGTAACTGGAGACTGCCTGCTGTGGGAACAAATGGGAAGCTCCCATTTGTTGCTCCAGCATGCTGTCTGGGTCAGT